TGCTTTTCGGATCTTGTGCCAATAATAGCCTGGTCGAAGGGCTTTGCCAGCTAGGGCTCGCGATCCTATATGCGCTACGCAACATCCCTCATGGATCTCCCTCAAGACATGATCCCCTTATTCTTCGGAAACGCATCGCAAGTGGGGTCCGACCATTGACTTCTTATATAAGACTCCTTCGATCTCAAAATATTTACTCAAATATCGAGCAGCTTTCTCCGCCTCTTGCTTATCTCATTCCGGCACTCGACCTTGTAATAGCTCGCGAATTGCTCTTCGCCAATCCTGCTTTTCGTCGACCTCCATTGTCTCACTTAAGACACTCTCTTCTAAGTGCAGTGTGGTAATATGATTCCCCATCTTTCCTTCATTTGAACTTGTGATTCTTGCGAGCTAGCCGGCTTGCTTGTTCTCTTCTCGAGGCACTTGCGTTAGCTCAAACCTTTCTAAGCCTTGCACCAGGCTCTGAATTCCATCGACATATTTTATCATCTGATCCTCTTTGATTTCGCAATTTCCCAATACTTGCCCCACAACAAGCTGTGAATTGAAATGTGCCGTGATTTCCGTCGCTCCCCCACCGATTGCCAGTTGAATGCCCTTAATTAGAGCTTCGTACTCTGCTTCGTTGTTCGAGGCCTTAAACCCCATTCTGATGGCGAAGTCGAGCTGCTCACCTTTGGGGGATACTAGGACGACTCCCAGACCAGATCCCTTGGCCGCCGAGGACCCATCAACATGCATTATCCATTTCTTGCCTGCTCCCTTAGTCCCTTCTTTGATAAAGTCGGCCAAAGCTTGGGCTTTTATAGCTCGTCGCGGTTCATACCTGATGGAATATTCGCTGAGCTCAACCGCCTACTTCACGAGTCGACCCGACACAGTAAGTCGACCCAAGGTCTCTCCGAGCTAAAAATTCGTCCTTACTACTATCACATGGTTCAGGAAATATGGCCTCAATTTTCTGGTTGTGATTACTAATGTTAAGGCGGCCTTCTCGACTTCGGCATATCTCGCCTCTGCGCCTTGAAGTACTCGACTCGTATAGTAGATCGACTGCTGGGCCCCTCCAGCTTCTCGTAGTAATACAGAACTTAGGAAAAATATTCCCACCGAGATGTAGAGTACTAACTCGTCGCTCGGCTCTGGCTTTGTTAACAACGGTAGTTCGCTCAAAAACTCCTTCAGCTTTTCGAACGCCATTTGAGCCTCGTCATTCCACTGAAAAGCTTTTTTTCTTAAGTAACTTGAAGAATGGGAAACTCCTTTCCACAGCTCGAGCGATGAACCGACTTAGGCCTGCAATTCAATCTGTCAGGACCTGAACTTCTCTAACATTCTTTGGCGGGGCCATGTCGAGTATGGCTTGCACTTTGTACTTATTTACTCCGATGCCTCTCTCAGCCACGACATAGCCCAGGAATCGTCCTGCCCTTACTCCAAAGGCGCATTTGCTCGGGTTCAACTTCATCCCATATGCCCTTAGTGTTTTGAAAGCTTCTCTTAGATCCTCTACATGCAAAGTTGAGGACCTACTTTTCAGCAGGATGTCGTCCACATATACCTCCATATTGCGTCCAATCTGTGACTTGAACATTCGATCCATCAATCTCTGGTACGTTGCCCCTGCATTTTTTAGCCCGAAGGGCATGACGACATAACAATACGTCCCTTTGCTTGTGACGAAGCTAACTTTGCTCTGATCCTCGGGGGCTAATGGGATTTGGTGATATCCCTGGGAGGCATCCATCATGCTTAACAGTTCGCAACCAGCCATGGAATCGACTAGTTGATCAATCCTCGGCAAAGGGTAATGGTCTTTGGGACATGCCAAGTTCAAGTCGCGAAACTCGATACACATACGCCATTTCTTCAATGCTTTCCTCACCATCACAGTGTTGGATATCCATTCGGGGAATTGGATCTCTTTGATGTGCCCGGCTTTTAGAAGCTTATCCACCTCGACCTCGATTGCTTTGTCTATCTCAGCCCCATGATGTCTGAGTCGTTGCTTGACGGGTTTTTTGTGGGGATCGACATTGAGCTTGTGTTCCATGACCTCCGGATTGATTCCTGTTAATTCCTCTGGAGAGAAAGCAAAGATGTCTCTAAATTCCTTCAACAATTCCACCAACTGTCTCCTTAACACTTCTTCCAATTCTTTCCCGACTTTGGTGGTTTGGTCCTCTCTTTCTCTGATATGAATTTCCATCAGCTCTCTGTGTGGTTCGAGATCACTTCCCCTCGGCCTTTTTTCGTTCGATCCCGACTTCTTTCCTTCTTTCACCTCAATTCGTTGATTCGTCTTTACCGCTATCTGATAACATGCTCTGGATAGTTTTTGATCTCCTCAAGCTTCTCCCACCCGATCTCCGACTAGAAATTTTAATTTCATATGGTAAGTTGACACCACAGCTTGGAAAGTGTTCAGTGCTGGTCTTCCGAGGATCACGTTATAAGCCGATTCGACATCGACCACCACAAATCTTATCATATTCACCTTTCTCAAGTCTCCTTCCCCTAGGACGACGGCAAGTGTGGTCTCTCCTCAGGGCGCGACCTTCGAGCCGTTGAACCCAAAAAGAGATGTGTGCAAGGGTGCCAATTCGATGTCGAGATCCATACTCTTGAGACAATCATAAAAGATCACATTTA